ATATATATATATATAAAAACATTGTGCATTTCAAGTCGCAGGGAAGCAGCTATTCCGACGGTTGCAGTATATATAGAAATATATACACATCTATATATATATATATGTGTACATATATGTAAGTATCTATATAGATATATACATATATATCTATATACATATATATCTATATATGTATCTATCTATCTATCTATCTATCTATCTATATATATATATATACACATTATTTAAAGCTACTCAAAGAAAACTTTCTCTGGGAAACATAGATATAAAATAAATCATCCATTTCAACAGATCTAATCATATATATAGGAAAATACGTTAGAATGTTCAGTTTTAATGAGACACTTATAGTAGCTTCGTACCAATTTTGTGGTGATTTATTTGGGGTTTCCTGCAGATTTCCATCAGTCTGTGTTCTTCCTCATAGCGGATGATGGTTTTTTCAACCTCTGTGAAGATTTCTTCAGCTGCAGCAGTTAGTCTTTCTCGGATAAACTCTCTCAGATGCTGAACTGGAGACATTTTTACTGCTGAAATATTTTTGCAGTTACGAAAACAAGCAGGTCTTCTAGCTTTGTTTATACGAGCTCATTTTGTTGTACTTCCGCTAACCGTCACTATAGCTGATAAAGCAGCTGAATGTGCTATTTATCGCCCCCTGCTGGTCGGAAGTCGAACAGCAGATTAGAAACAAAAAGACTATCATTTGAAACACAGCAGAACTTTTCTAAACAGTTATAAATTAAGTCAGTGTTTTGTCAGTTCATAGTCTAAAAGAACGAGCTCAAAGTTCAGTTCATGCAGATGAAAAACAAGTAGCTCATGTTCATTGTTATTTTTTTCCAAAAAGATTAACTAAGTTCACAAACCTACTGTATAAATGAACTAATTCGGGACATTCGGTAAATTAAGCCACAATCCTACAATGGAACCTCATATTTCAGCCTTTAAATGTGTGATCATAATATATATAAAAGAAAAATGGAAAATACTCAATGCAGTCATGGTATACTGAATGCAGGGGCAGATTTAAGAAATTTGGGGCCCTAGGCAAAGACGGGCACAGGGCCCTCTGAATTGAGAAGACAACACATAAAACAGATCCATTATACAGATACGGAAATTTTAATAGGTAAGAAATACATTATTAATTCTACGTTTTGTCCCTCTCTTCTTGTCCCTTTTCTTCTTGTTTTTCTCTCTATGTTTTGTACTCAGCTGACTATTCATGCCGTCTCAAAAGGAATGAAAGACTTTTTCCAAGCACTAAGCTCACTTAGCTCATTGCTCCTTCTGTGTTTCCAAAAAGGCGACGGCAAAAGTAAAGAATACAGTCTTTTCACTGTAGACAAGCCATGATGTGCTTATCTGTTTCAATTTGGATGAAATAATAACTGCATGAATCATGACAGCAGACAAGATAGAATTCTCCAGTAGCAGAAAAAAAGTTGCTAGATTTGGCGCTATGTGCTTTTTTATGATAAATGTGTTAGAGGGGTCTGAAAAGTCACTAAATAAGGTGACTAAAGCTCTCAGTTCACAACACTGCTCTTTGCATTGTTTTTAAATGGTTTGCTGCTGTTTTGTTTGGGCCTTTCTGAACATGTGCAGCAAATGGACTGATCCAATGTGCTGGACATTGAAGGGCGGGGGCTGAGATACACTTAATATTATAAAGGAATAAGAAAAGGAATATTTGTATTAAACATAGTTTTATGTGGCCCCCAGGAACTTGGGGCCGTGGCAACTGCCTAGCATTGCCTAATGGTAAATCCCCCCCTGACTGTATGTTCAGTGAAGCCTTTATTTAGACAAATAATACAAAACTTCTGAAAAAATCTTGAACATTCAGGTTCTGCTGAAAAGATCTGGATCCAAAATGATTTCTTATGTTCCTCATTCAGTATATTTCCTCAGTTAGCTCGGGTGCTTTCACTCGATGTGTTGCTTTAAATTTGAAGTTGACGTGGCTGGTGTACGTACATGTTTGTTAAGTCACTGTGGGCACAGTTTGCACAAAAGGTTTCCCGTCCCAGTCTTCCTTTGTTAGGTGATCAAACTCTGCTAAGCGCTCTGTTAAACTGGCATCGGAAATACCAGCAGATGAGTCTAAATCACACAAACTAGTACTAGCAGTAGACCTGCTGGTCTGTCATGCTATTAGCAGTAATAAGTGCCATAAAACCTAATTTTATTCAATGAAAAGTGTCATTATTAATTGAAGGTGAACGTGAGCTGTGTGTGTCGCCCATTATTCCCTCGTTCTCATTACCTTAAAATCCGATTAGTTCAGCGTTCACTAATAATATGAACTATTTAGTGAAAGGCGATCATTGATCACGTTCACGCACAACACTGAATTGAGTCGATATTATCCCAGATATTTTTCCCAGTAAAATTTATTTCCAATTGTTCCAATGTCATCCTACTATCTTCAAAAGCATTACATTCCAATAATATATGAATCAGAGTTCAGTTACAGCTTTAATGCTACCTGTACATCAGAGGCACTTCTTCTACAGCTAATGTTAGTGTACCCATCCTACAAACACCGTCTAGGATGACCAAAACCCGATTCACCAGATGAGGGACAAATACTATCTTTGTGCGGGGCAATTTGGGACACCAGTGTATCAAGGCAGTCTACAATAAAAAAAATATTGAAAAAAAAAAATCAGTATGCTTCTTTGCTAATAACATTACTAACACACCTGACTGTGTACAATCAAACAGAACAGACAGGATACAATAGTACTTCCGGCATTGTATTTTAATGTTTCTTTTCTCCAACAACAGAGCAACAAAATAAACCCAGCAGAACTCAAAAAATCCTATTAAAGTTGTTGCTCAAGTAGAATTACATGCTAAACCATATATTCAAGCAGAACATGCTCTGAATTATTGTAGATCTCATGTAGTACCATAAGGTGATTATCTGAACAAATCAGAAACTAATTCAGGTCAGATTCACACACTGTAGTTCAGCTACACAAAATAGATGCATTTGAAAATGAACTTCCTTTACTAGATAATGCCATCTAAAATCACTACATTAAATAGATTCAATTCAATTCCGTTTATTTATATAGTGCCAATTCGCAACACACATCATCTCAAAGCACTTTACAATTTACCAGATTATACAGTCAATTGATTCAAAGTTTTCTATCTAAGGAAAACCAGTTGATTGCTTCGACTCATTGACTCAAAGGCAATCCCACACACTAAGCATGCTTGTAGCGACAGTGGAGAGGAAAAACTCCCTTTTAACAGGAAGAAACCTCCAGTCTGCAGAGGCCGACTGGGTTTCAAGGAGACAGAAGCAGAGAAACAAAAGGCAACCGTAAAAGGAGGCCCTGTCCAGGAAACACACAGACAGGCAGACGAGCTCCAAGCCAGCTCACATGTCTGAGGATGAAGAGAGCACATCCACTCAGTCACGGTCAGAGAAACAGGACACTGGAAAAACAGTCCGATCTCCAACATGTATAAACAAGGCTGTTGATGACAGCATGATGGCGGCAGTACAGCTGATATTTCTCTCCAGGATGGAGTCACACCCAAACAGGAACAGATGAGTTGTAGCTTGAGAAAAAGCAGAGAGAGCATAACTTTAGAGATTGAACTAACAGATTCTGCAGAGTGGGAGAATAGAGAGAGAATGAAGCAGAATGATGAAGTAAGGGTCCCTGTGTCCTCTAGAAGTCTGAGCCTATAGCAGCATAACTATAGAGATAGCTCAGGATAACCTCAGCAACTCTAACTATAAGCTTTATCAAAAAGGAAAGTTTTAAGCCTTCCCTTAAAAGTAGACAGGGTGTCTGCCTCACGGACTAAAACTGGTAGTTGGTTCCACAGGAGAGGAGCCTGATAACTAAAAGATCTGCCTCCCATTCTATTTTTTGAAATTCTAGGAAACACTAGTAAACCTGCAGATTGAGAGCAAAGTGCTCTGTTAGGAACATAAAGAACAATCAGATCTCTGATATAAGATGGAGCTTTAACATTTAAGGCTTTATATGTGAGAAGAAGGAGGGTTTTAAATTCTATTCTGGATTTAACAGGAAATCAAAGAAGAGAAGCTAGAATAGGAGATATTAAACCAGAAATACAAATCAAAACTGGTAAGGAGGAAACAAAAACTTGAATTAAATTAAAACATTTTTCCAGTTTTGATCATCAAAGTAACCCAATCAGTGCTCTCCCAGCACAAAGGAGAGCACCTGGCGGATTTCTTTTTAAAAGTTTTATCCATCAAAAGTATTTCTTTCCTCTTCGTCGCAGCAACAATTAAAGGCAGATTGAATCCACACAGACAATGCACCCTCAGCACCACAGAAAGCACCTGCCGGTGAAACATAAGAATAGAGCAGTGTCTTAAAATCTAGCACTGCACTGGCCCGGTGCACACAATATTTTAAACCATATAGACAATGATCTTACATTTGATGTTCTTTGGTTTATCCTTTTTGCTTGAGCATGCAGCTTCTAACAAGGCCTTTTTCTTAGGTGCAAAGCAGTAGAAATCCTTGCAACTGTACTTAAGGTGGCTCTTGACTTGCATTCACTCTTGATAATCTCCAGAGAGCAACTGTTCCTCTGATCATTCCAGGCTGCAGTCATGTGGGAAAACACTCTCTCTATAGAAGCATTAGTTATATGGATGCTAAAGAGAAAAGATGAAACAGCAGTCACATTTGTTACCTTTGTGTTTTTAAGCAGGACTGACCACTTCTCCACAACAGGAGCTCTTCTCTTAACAATTTCCTGCTGGCATGGCAGAGTCACACAGTGTTCCACATACAGTTCATCTATGTCTAGTTCCCACCTTATCCCTAGGCCCTGCAAAGCAGCACTGAGCTGGGAGAATGTAAAGCTGCTCTTCAGTGCCAAATGTGCAACATCCTTCTGGTAGATGTTGTCCGTGAAGTCACACCATTTTTCAATGTTTCAATTGGGTTCAGTCTTGTAGAAGTTGAAAAAATCATTTTTGATAGTTGCTGTCTTTTAGTCAGAAAACTGTTCTACAATAGCACTGATCTCCATTCCAAAGAAGGAATCAATTTGTCTCAGTTGGATCTTAGCCTTTAGAGTAAGCATTATGTCATATAGCCTGCACATGGTTCCATCCTGTACCCCCAACCGAAGCACAATATCACTGAAGATCTTCAATATGTTATTTAGGAAAGCTAGGTAGGCCTTTAGTTTGTTGTCACCATCCTGATCTGGTTTTTACAGCTGCCACAGTGCTTCTGGGAAATTTCTCCTTGTGACAATAAGTAGTTCTTGATAGCTTCCCAGTAGTCATGCAGCCTCTGGACAGCAGGTCACAGGCTCAACCATCATGTCGGTACACGTCTCTGTACAACATGACAACAGAGGCAAACACGGCTTTCAGTTCTTCTGTATTCTGTGCAGACATAGAAAAGGGATTGAATATTTTGTTCACTACATAGTTAATGTCAATATTCAACATGTCTCCAGCATGTCTTGCACAGTTTTATGCTATGTGGGCCATGCAGTTTACCTTGATGATTCTTCACAACACGTCATCCCAAGGTACTTTACAGAGACAATTCAACCAGATCAGTTTTCTA